CCAAACCGTTGCATTGTATTTTTAAATATATTAATAATAATATTTTATGTTTTCAATAGGATAATTAATATATTAAAATATATTTATTTATCGATTTATCGTGTCAGGAGCAAACCAAACAGTTGCATTGTATTTTTAAATATATTAATAATAATATTTTATGTTTTTAATGATAATTAATATATGAAAATATATTTATTTATCGATTTATCGTGTCAGGAGCAAACCAAACCGTTGCATTGTATTTTTAAATATATTAATAATAATATTTTATGTTTTCAATAGGATAATTAATATATTAAAATATATTTATTTATCGATTTATCGTGTCAGGAGCAAACCAAACAGTTGCATTGTATTTTTAAATATATTAATAATAATATTTTATGTTTTTAATATAATTCATATATTAAAATATATTTATTTATCGATTTATCGTGTCAGGAGCAAACCAAACCGTTGCATTGTATTTTTAAATATATTAATAATAATATTTTATGTTTTCAATAGGATAATTAATATATTAAAATATATTTATTTATCGATTTATCGTGTCAGGAGCAAACCAAACCGTTGTATTGTATTTTTAAATATATTAATAATAATATCTTATGTTTTTAATAGGATAATTAATATATTAAAATATATTGATTGATTGATTTATCATGTCAGGAGTAAACCAAACCATTGCATTGTATTTTTAAATATATTAATAATAATATTTTACGTTTTTAATGGGATAATTATAACGTCGTACTATGATAATGATAATGTACTTTTAAGAAATAATATTTTATATTTATTTATATTTAATTATTAAAATGATTAATAAAATAATATTTCATGTTTTTATTTAATTATAATTATTTACTTAAATAAATAATATTTTAATTTTATTTATAAAATGAGATATATTTATTTATATTTATTTATAAAATTATTTATGAAATAATAATATTTTATGTTTTTAATATGATAATTATAACATCATGTGATGATAACAATAACGTACTTTTAATAAATATTTTATATTTATTTATAAAATAATATATATTTATTTATAAAATTATTTATAAAATAATATTTTGTTTTTAATATGATTATAACGTCACATGATAATGATATTAATATGATAATTATAATGTAACACGATAATGATAATGTACTTTTATATATGTATTTATAAAATAATATTATATATTTATTTATTAAATTATTTATAAAATAATATTTTGTTTTTAAATATGATAATTATAACGTCACACGATAATGGTAACATACTTTTAATGAATATCTTATATTTATTTATAAAATAATATATATTTATTTAGATTTATAAAATTATTTATAAAATATTTTGTTTTAAAATATAATTATAACATCACACGATGATAATGATAACGTACTTTTAATAAATAATATTTTATATTATTTATAAAATAATATATATTTACTTATATGTATTTATATGTATGTATTTATATGTATTTGAGTCGCCTTCGGGCTTGAGATACAGCGGTATATAAGCAAAGTAAATAAATAAATAAATAAATGTAAAATTATTTATAAAATAATATTTTGTTTTTAAAAATGATAATTATAATGTCACACGATGATAACGATAACGTACTTTTAATACATAATATTTTATATTTATTTATAAAATAATATATATATATTTACTTATATAATTATTTATATAAATAATAACATTTTATGTTTTTAATATGATAAATATAACATCACACGATAATAACGTACCTTTGATAAATAATATTTTATATTTATTTATAAAATAATATATATTTATTTATATTTATTTATAAAATTATTTATAAAATAATATTTTGTTTTTAATATAATTATAACGTCACACGATGACAATGATAACGTACTTTTAATAAATAATATTTTATATTTATTTATAAAATAATATATAGTTATTTATATTTATTCATAAATTATAATGTCACACGATAATGATAATGTACTTTTAATAAATAATATTTATTAAATCAAACCACCCCCAACAGATGGCCATCCAGAATTTGTAATAATCATAGCAATAATAATAATAATAATCCCCAAGGCCATCCAGCCCAACCTCCTTTATTCTGTCATGCAGGAAAAGCACAATCAAAGCACCCCCAACAGATGGGCATCTAGCATTTGTAATAATAATAATAATAATAGTAATAATGATAATAACAGTAATAACAATAATAGTAGTAGTAGTAACAACAACAACAACAACAACAACAACAACAACAATAATAATAATAAAAACAACCCTAGGGCTATGTAGTCCAACCTCCTTTATTCTGTCATGCAGGGAAAGCACAATCAAAGCACCCCCAACAGATGGCCATCTAGCATTTGTAATAATAACAACAACAACAACAACAACAACAACAACAACATAACCACAGGAGCATCCAGTCCAACCTCCTTTATTCTGTCATTCAGGAAAATCACAAAGCACCCCCAACAGATGGCAATCTATTATTTTTTTAATAATAACAATAATAATAGCAATAATAATAATAATAGTAATAATAATAATAAAACAACCCCAGGGCCATTCAGTCCAACCTCCTTTATTCTGTCACGCAGGAAAAGCACCATCAAACCACCCCCAAATCAAACCACCCCCAACAGATGGCCATCTAGCATTTGTAATAATAATAATAGTAATAGTAATAAAATAATAACAGTAGTAGTAATAGTAATAATAATAATAATGTGAAATGTCAGGTGAGAATGTTGCTGGAACATGGCCAGAGAGCTCTGAAAACTCACAGCAACCCAATAATAGCGGTGCCCCCTCCCCACCCACAGGACTCACCCAGGGTGGTGGGCTTGATGAGCTCGTCGTAGACGTCGTAGAAGGGCAGCCGGCGCATCTTGACGTCGGGGTGGACAGGGTGGACGGGGGGTGGAAGGTGGGGGGCCCCGTCCCCCTCACGCTTGGGGCCCAGGAGGGGCACCGGGGGCAGCAGGCCGGGCGGCAAGGCCCCCGAGGAGGCCCCCGCGGAGGGGCCCCCGTCGTAGGAGAGGTGGCACATGGCGCCCTGGGTGAGCGCAGCGGCCGAGGGGATCTGCCCCGCGGAGGAGGAGGAGGAGGAGGCAGTGGCGGCGGCGGCCTGGAGGTGGAGCATGGAGAGGTCCGAGGGGGAGAGGATCTTGCGGGGGAAGCGGCGGCGGTAGAGCTCCTTGATCTTCATCTGGACGGCCGGGCTGCAGCCGGACTTCAGCAGCTGCAGGGCTTTGGTCAGCAGCTCATGCTTGCGCCCGCTCTTGTTGCGACCGGCAAAACCCAGCAGCACCTGCAGCTCCGAGACCCTAAAGCTCATGACCATGTGCTGCCGGGAGAAAGAGGGAAAGGACACGTGTCAACAGGTAGGACGCTGCCATGTTTATATGATCAGCCATTGCCAGAGGGTTGTTTATTATTATTATTATTATTATTATTATTATTATCAATATTAAATGTTGGATAATCTAGAGAAATAATGGAAAATATTGCTATTATTATTATCATCAATATTAAATGTTGGATAATTAGAGAAACAATGGAAAATATTGCAAATAATAATAAAAAAATTAAAATAATATAATAAAAATTATTATTATTATTATTATTATTATTATTAATAATAATAAACCGCTTTGAGTCTCCCCAGGGGTGAGAAAGGCAGTATACAAATACTGCAAATAAATAAATAATAACATTAATAACATTATTATTATTATTATTAATAATAATAATAATAATAAACCGCTTTGAGTCTCCCCAGGGGTGAGAAAGGCAGTATACAAATACTGCAAATAAATAAATAATAACATTAATAACAATATTATTATTATTATTATTATTATTATTACTAAATGTTGTTTGACCTAGAAAATCCTAGAGAAATAATAGGAAATATTGCAACTAATAATCATAATAATTGCATTATTATCAATATTAAATGTTGGATAATCTAGAGAAATAATAGAAAATATTGCAAATAATAAAACAATAAATAATAATAAAATTAAAAATAATAATAATAAATAAAATAAATAATAATTTAAAAAAAACGCTTTGAGTCCCCCCAGGGGTGAGAAAGGCAGTATATAAATACTTCAAATAAATAAATAATAACATTAATAACTGCATTATTATTACTAAATGTTTGACCTAGAGAATCCTAGAGAAATAATAGGAAATATTGCAACTAATAATAATAACTAATAATAATAGCATTATTATTATTATTATTAAATGTTGTAAAATCTTAGAGAAATAATAGGAAATATTGCAAGTTATAATATTATTATTACTAAATGTTGTTGGATCTAGAGAATCGAAGAGAAGTAATAGAAAATATTGCAAATACTATTATTATTATTATTATTATTATTATTATTAAGTTTTGGAGAATCTAGAGGGTCCTTCCTAGAGGGCCGATCCCAGAAGGTGTTATTGGGAGACACCAGTTCAACCCCACAACCTTTGTCTTGTGGGGTTCCTCAGGGCTCAATATTGTCTCCCTTGTTGTTCAACATCTACATGAAGCCGCTGGGGGAGATAATTCGGAGTTTCGGGGTACAGTGTCATCTGTACGCAGATGACGTCCAACTCTGACTCCTTTCCACCTGCTACTAAGGAGGCTGTCCAGGTCCTGAACCGGTGCTTGGCCGCTGTGACGGTCTGGATGAGGGCGAACAAATTGAAACTGAATCCAGACAAGACAGAGGCACTCCTGGTCAGTCGTAAGGCCGAACAGGGCATAGCGTTACAGCCTGTGTTGGACGGGGTCGCACTCCCCCTGAAGACGCAGGTTCGCAGCTTGGGTGTGATCTTGGACTCGTCGCTGAGCCTGGAACCCCAGGTTTCGGCGGTGACCAGGGGAGCATTTGCACAGCTAAAGCTTGTGCCTGAACCTTGGGAAGCCTGATTATTTTATTATTATTATTATTATTATTATTATTATTATTATTATTATTAAACTTTATTGGTACCCCGCTAGCATCTCCTGAAGGACTCGATGCGGCTTACAAAGGCCAAGGCCTCAACACACAACATAACAATACACCTAAAGAAAATTAAAACAATTAATGCAGTACTAAAAAACAACAAAACTACAAGTAATAAACAATGCATCAAAACACGATAAAACTGGGCCGGGCCAGAGTAAAGGGTACAGGTGGACGGGGGGCGGAAGGTGGGGCGCCCCGTCCCTCTCGTGCTTGGTGCCCAGGAGGGGCACGGGGGGCAGCAGGTCGGGTGGTAAGTCCCCCGAGGCCCCCCCGGCAGAGGGGCCCCCGTTGTAGGAGAGGTGGCACATGGTGCCCTGGGTGAGCGCAGCGGCCGAGGGGATCTGCCCCGCGGAGGAGGAGGCGGCGGCCTGGAGGTGGAGCATGGAGAGGTCCGACGGGGAGAGGATCTTGCGGGGGAAGCGGCGGCGGTGTGACAGGTGATATGTAAGGCTTATAGGGCAAGTGCAGTGTGCAGCGATCTTAATTATAATAAAGTGGTTCTGGGACTTGGTATTGGAGATTTCCTATTCTGAGAAGGCACATCGGAACAGCCAAGTCTTCAAGTTCTTTCTGAAGACTGCCAATGTAGGGGCCTGTCTGAGATCTTTTGGGAGGGCGTTTTGAGTCGGGGGGGGGGGCACCACAGAAAAGGCCCTGTCTCGCGTCCCCACCAAACGCGCTTGCGACGCAGGCGGGATCACAAGCAGGGCCTCTCCAGATGAACGTAGTGAAAGCGTGGGTTCGTAGACAGAGATGCGATCGCGCACGTAGGATGGTCCCAAACCGTTCAGGGCTTTGTAGGTAAGCACCTGCACCTTGAATTGGGCTCGGAAGATAAACAGCAGCCAGTGCAGCTCCTTGAACAGGAGGGTTGACCTCTCTCTGTAGGGAGCGCCAGTTAACATCCTCGCCGCTGCTCGTTGGACAAGTTGGAATTTCCGAGCCGTCTTCAAGGGCAGCCCCACGTAGAGCGCATTACAGTAATCCAACCTAGAGGTGACCAAGGCATGGACCACCCCGGCCAGATCAGCCTTCGTGAGGTACGGTCTTGGCTGCGGTAGTCCATGCTATAGCCACATCCCGTTTAGACTACTGCAATGCTTTCTACGCGGGGTTGCCTTTGAATACTGCTTGGAAGCTTCAAATGGTCCAACAATCGGCAGCCAGGTTGCTCACATGAGCGGGGCTCAGGGAGCACACAACTCCTCTGCTGCATCAGCTCCACTGGCTGCCAGTTTGCTACCGGGCTCAATTCAAAGTGCTGACTTTAGCCTATAAAGCCCGAAACGGTTCTGGCCCAGCCTACCTATCCGAACGCATCTCTTCCTACGAACCCTCCAGGAAGTTAAGATCATCTGAGGAGGCCCTGCTCTCGATCCCGTCTGCTTCGCAAGCGCGCTTGGCGGGGACGAGGGACAGGGCCTTCTCTGTGGTGGCCCCTCGGCTGTGGAACTCCCTGCCTAGGGATATTAGATCAACCCCCTCCCTCCTGACTTTTCGGAAGAGAGTAAAACCTGGCTCTTCGAGCAAGCATTCGGAACCCCGGAATAGATAGTCAAGCTTGAGATGGAGAATGACCCAGGAACGGCCAAGACAATGAAACGGACGAGGATTGGAATGAGAGGATATATAGCTCTTTTTAAATTGTTATTGTCTTTTTTGTCTAAATGCATTTAATTTATTGTCGAAGGCTTTCATGGCTGGAATCACTAGGTTCTTGTGGGTTTTTTTCGGGCTATATGGCCATGTTCTAGAGGCATTTTTCCTGACATTTTGCCTGCATCTATGGCAAGCATCCTCAGAGGTAGTGAGGTCTGTTGGAATTAGGACAATGGGTTTATATATCTGTGGAATGGCTGGGGTGGGGCAAAGAGCTCTTCTCTGCTGGAGCTAGGTGTGAATGTTTCAACTGACCACCTTCATTAGCTCAGCCAGGCCTTCAAATGCTAATGAAGGTGGTCAGTTGAAACATTCACACCTAGCTCCAGCAGACAAGAGTCCTTTGTCCCACCCTGGTCATTCCACAGATATATAAACCCTTTTTTCCTAGTTCCAACAGACCTCATTACCTCTGAGGATGCTTGCCATAGATGCAGGTGAAACGTCAGGAGAGAATGCCTCTAGACCATGGCCATATAGCCCGAAAAAACCTACAACAACCCAGTGATTATTAATATTATTTGTATATTATATTATTTGTAGACCGCCCTGAGTCGCCTGCGGGCTGAGATGGGCGGGATATAAGTGATGTAAATAAAATAAAATAATTTTTTTTATAATAATATTGTATATTATATTATTATATGATATAATAATATAACATTATTATATAATATAATAATATTATATTATATCATATAATATTAATATTATTTGTATATTATATTATTATATAATATAATAATATTAATATTATTTGTATATTATATTATTTGTAGACCGCCCTGAGTCGCCTGCGGGCTGAGATGGGCGGGATATAAGTGATGTAAATAAAATAAAATAATTTTTTTTATAATAATATTGTATATTATATTATTATATGATATAATAATATAACATTATTATATAATATAATAATATTATATTATATCATATAATATTAATATTATTTGTATATTATATTATTATATAATATAATAATATTAATATTATTTGTATATTATATTATTTGTAGACCGCCCTGAGTCGCCTGCGGGCTGAGATGGGCGGGATATAAGTGGTGTAAATAAAATAAAATAAATATATTTTTATAATAATATTGTATATTATATTATTATATGATATAATAATATAACATTATTATATAATATAATAATATTATATTATATCATATAATATTAATATTATTTGTATATTATATTATTATATAATATAATAATATTAATATTATTTGTATATTATATTATTTGTAGACCGCCCTGAGTCGCCTGCGGGCTGAGATGGGCGGGATATAAGTGATGTAAATAAAATAAAATAATTTTTTTTTTATAATCATGTTATATATTATATTATTATATAATAATAATATATCATTATATAAAAATAATATATTATTATATAATAATAATATATTATTATATAATAATAATATATTATTATATAATATAATATAATTATATTACATTATACTATTATATTATATAATAATACAATATTATTATATTATACAATAATATATTATTATATTATATAACAATATTATATTATTATATTATTATTTTTAATAATATTGCTATATTATTATATTATTACATTATTATTATTATATTAGTATATTATTATTTTAATAATATAATATTATTATATTATTGCTATATTATTATTATTATTTACATCCTTCTGCCTTGAAATCCTGATGTTTTGGCCAGGCTCCTCCTCCTGCCTGACGTCACTTCCGCCCTCTCCCAAGCCCGAAGCGCCGCCATCTTGTGCGGCCTACTTCTCCTCACGAAGCCTCCTTGGCGGTACGTTTTCACCCCGAGCCGGGCTTCCCGGGCCCCCCTATATTTCGGGCACCCCGCTTCCTTTGGGGGCGCCCCCGTAGCCCCCCGAGGCCCGCTTCGTTCCTTTCCGGAGCCGGCTCCCCGATTTCCGCCTTACCTTCAGCTCGGCCGCCTCCGCCATCTTGAGGCATCCTCGCTAGGGAGCGGAGGCAAACTCCCAAGCTGAGGCGCAGGCGCAGAAGATGCCGAAGCCAAAGCCACGCAGGAGGGGGCGGGGCCTCGAGAAACCACGCCCCCGAAAGGGGCGGGGCTGAGGGCAGCCTCGTTAAAGACCGGCTTGGGAAGCTCCAGGGAGCGTCGCTAAAGAGCTAACCCTCGCAGTAGACGCAGAATAGGATCTTGAGCCATAGGATTCCATTGGGTCTTTTTCTCTGCAGCATGATAGTGGAAAATATTGCAAATAATAATAATAATAATAATAATAATAATAATAATAATAATAATAATAATAATAATAATCTCTCTGACCCTTCTGGTATAGTGTAATAATATTTGAAAATATTGGAAATAATAGTAATAATAATAATTATTATTATTATTATTATTATTATTAAATGTTGGGGAGCCTAGAGAAATAATAGAAAATATAGGAAATAATAATAATAATAATAATATCATTATTACTTTTATCATTATTGTTAAATGTTGGAAAATTTAGAGAAATGATGGAAAATATTGCAAATAATAATAATAATAATAATAATAACATAATTATTATTATTAAATGTTGGGGAACTTAGAGAAATAATAGAAAATATTGGAAATAATAATAATAATAATAATAATAATAATAATAATCTCTGTCGCTTCTGGTATAGTGTAATAATATTTGAAAATATTGGAAATAATAATAATAATAATAGCATTATAATCATTATTACATGTTGTTGGAGAACCTAGAGAAATAATAGAGAAAATATTGGAAATAATAATAATAGCATTATTATTATTATTATTTTATTTATTTATTTATTTACTGCATTTGTTGACCGCCGTTCTCAGCCCTAGGGCGGCTCATGGCGGTGTACAACATATAAAAACAGTTTACAATAGACAATATCACAACGAAATCAACATAACAATCAATAATACCATTACACTAAATCATCCGCGCCGTCTCATTGTAGAATCATAAACCAAACTCATTATCCATATTCCGTTCCGATCGTCATTACCAATAATTGTAGCACTTAGTTAAACGCCTTCTCAAATAACCATGTCTTTAGACTCTTGCGGAATGCCATAAGGGAGGGCGCCTGTCTGATATCTACAGGGAGGGCGTTCCACAGCCGGGGGGCCACCACCGAGAAGGCCCTCTCTCTCGTCCCCGCCAGATGAGCCTGTGAGGCAGGTGGGATCGAGAGAAGGGCCTCCCCGGACGATCTCAAGGTCCTCGTGGCCGAGATGCGGTCAGAAAGGTATTTTGGGCCGGAACCGTTTAGGGCTTTGTAGGCCAACACCAGCACCTT